TCTTGTTTGAGACTCTCTGTGCTTCCTGGACTTGTATGTCTGTTTCCTTCACCAAGTTAGGGAAGTTTTCTGCCATTATTGTTTCAAATAGGTTTTCGATTTCTTGTTCTTTCTTTTCTTCTGGCACCCCCAAGATGCGAATGTTGGCACGCTTGAAGTTGTCCCAGAGGCTCCTTACACTATCCTCATTTTTTTGGATTTTTTTTTTTTTTGCTGTTCTGATTGGGTGTATTTTGCTTTCTTATATTCCAAATCAATGGTGTGCTACTTGGTTTTACCTACTTTACTATTGAATCTGTGTAAATTATTCTTTATTTCAGTTAGTGCCTCCTTCATTTCTGACTGGTCCTTTTTTATGCTCTTGAGACCCTCACTAAGTTCACTGAGGTTCTCACTAAGTTCACTGAGCATCCTTATAAGCAGTATTTTGAACTCAACATCTGTTAGGTTGCTTATTTCCATTTCACTTAGTTCTTTTCCTGGGGTTTTGTTCTATTCTTTCATTTGGGACCTGTTTCTTTGTCTCCTCATTTTGGCTGCCTCCCTGTGTGTGTTTCTATGTACTAATTAATGAACGAGTGGTACAGGGCTAGCTGAGACCAGCTGCTGCTTGTTTGAAAGAATTTAGGAAAACCTGAAGCAGGATCCAAGACAGGCCAATCCTGTGGTTAAGCAACTGGCAACAGCTTGGGTGGGCCTGAAAGCTGGGTGGGGCGGGGCCTCAGGGAGTCACCAGGGCGGGGCTACCAGTGTGAGCCAGGTTGCTGGGGTCCCAGGTATGGCAGCTGTCTGCCGCCCCAGGGAAGGGCTCACCAAAGGAACAAAGGCCTCTGACAGCACGTTTGTCCCGAAGAAAGCCCCCTCTCCAGCCCTCGCTCCAAAACCAAACAGCTCAGCTCTTCCCTGTATGTCTCTGGCGCTTCTCAAGCTGCCTCCCCTCTGAGCTTACAGGGAGAGAGTCCGATAAGTCCGTGCGCGGGCCCTTTAAGGAACTGCCTGGGGCCCCAGCCGCCTCAGCCTCCCTGAGCCTCAAGTTCCCACTGGTTTTTCCAGCCAGAAGTGATGGGGATTCTCTTCCTGGCACTGGAATCCTGAGCTGGGCACCTGGTGTGGGGCAGGGACCCCTCAGTTTTCAGGGAGGACCTTCCCTGCCGAGGAATCCTCCTAATTTTTAGCCCCCACACATAGGTGTGGGACCAGCCTGTCAGACTCTGCCCTCCTACCAGTCTCCATGTGGCTGCTGCTTTAATTCCGTAGTTGTAGGGCTTCCATTCAGCTCAGGCGGTTTTGAATGATGGTTGTTCTGTAGTTTAGTTGTAATTTTGATGTGGTTGTGGGAGAATGTGATACTGTGTTTACCTACCTGCCATCTTGACCAGAAGTCCTCAAAAATCAGCTGCTTTTAAAAAACAATTATTTTTCACCCTGGCTGGTTTGGCTTAGTGGTTCAAGCATTGGCCTGCAGACAATGAGTTGTGGGTTCAATTTCGGCCAAGGGCACATACCTCAGTTGCAGTTTGTCCACGGCCTTGGTCGGGGTCATGCAAGAGGCAACCTGTTGATGTGTCCCTCCCGAGTCGATCTCTGTCTCTCTCCCCCTCCCTCCCACCTTCCTCTCTGCCACTTTATCTTTTTTTTTTTTTTTATCTTTTTTGCATTTATCTTCAGGTGAGGCAGGAGGAAGAGAGAGAGAGAAACATCAAGTGGCTACCACCCACACAACCCCAACCAGGCTGGGGACAAACTGCAACCAAGGCATGTGCCTTTAGCAGGAACTGAACCCAGGACTCTCCAGTTCGTGCTCCAACTGCTGAGCCAAATCAGCCAGGGCAAAACTACCAGTGAATTTGACTAGCTGTGTTGCTTGTATGTTATCCTTTTTTTCTCGTTTTATTTAAAATTTTTTCTCCATTTTTAAATCATTTTTATTTTTTAATTATAGTTGACTTATATTAGTTTCAGGTGTACACCCATGTGATTAGACATTACATAACTTACTTAATGATCATCCTGATAAATCTCCTACCCATCTGACACTATACATAGTTATTAGATTTTTTTTTTTTTTAAATATCTGCATCTGCCGGCCTCCCTGGTGTCTGGGCCAGTGGGCCCATAGAATATTTTTTACTATTTTCCCTATGCTATACTTTACATCCTCATGACTAGTCTATAACAACCAATTTGTACTTCCTTTTTTTTTCATCCTCACCCGAGGACATTTTTCCATTTTTTGTTCAGATAGATGGGAGAGAGAGAGAGAAACATCGACGTGAAAGGGACACATTGAGTGGCCGCCACCCACACGACCCAACCAGGGCTGGGGACAAACTGCAACTAAGGTTCGTGCCCCCAGCGGGAACCGAACCCGGGTCTCTCTGGACCTCGGGCCAACGCTCTAACTGCTGAGCCAAACTGGCCAGGGCGTACTTCTTTTTTTTAAATTTTATTTTCTTTATTATTGATTTTTAGAGAGAGGAAGGGAGAGGGAGAAAGAGATAGAAACTTTGATGAGAGAGAACATCAGTTGGCTGCCTCTTGCATGACCTCCACTGGGAATTTGGCCCACAACCTGGGCATGTTCCCTGCCCGGGATTCAAAGCAGTGACCTCTTGGTACATGGGTTGATGCTCAACCACTGAGCCATACTGGCCTGGCAGTTCGTACTTCTCTTTAAATAAGAATTTTAGCCCAGCCAGTGTGGTTCAGTGGTTGAGCGTTGACCCATGCACCAAGTGGTCAATGGTTCAATTCCTAGTCAGGGCACATGCCCAGGTTGTGGGCCAGATCCCCAGGGGGCATGCAGGAGGAAGCCAGTCAGTGTTCCCTCTCATTGATGTTTCTATCTCTTTCTCCCTCTCCCTTCCTCTCTCTCTAAAATCAATAAAGAAAAAAAAAATTAAAAAAGATTTTTAAATAGTACGGCCAATGTGGCTCAGTGGGTTGAGTGTCGTCCCATGAACTGAGAGGTCCAGGTTCAATTTCAGGTCAGGGCATATGCCTGGGGTTTCTGGCTTGATCCCAGTAGGGGGTATGCAGTAGGCAGCCAATTGTTTCTATCTCTCTCCAGTCCTTACTGAAACACATTTTTCTCTTTTTCTTTTTTTAATCGTCACCCGAGGATATATTTTTTTTCTATTTATCTTCAGATAAAGTGGGAAGGAGAGAAACATTGCCGTGGGAGGGACACATCTACTGGTTGACTCCTGCATGACCCGACCAGGTCTGCGGACCGAACTGCAACATGCCCGTGGCTGGAATTGAACACGCGAATCGTCGGTCTGCAGTCCGACACTCTACTGCTGAGCCAAACTGGCCAGAGCACTACAATATATTTTTAAGAAAACGTTTTTAAATAGATTTTTAGAGAAAGAAAGAAACAGTGTTTGGCTGTCTCCTGCATGCTACCTACTGGGTATCCAGCCTGACCCTGGGCATGTGCCTGACCAGGAATTGAACTGGCAACCTTCTGGTGACTGAAGGATACCCAATCGACTGAGCCAGGGCCAGTTTACTTTTTTTCCCCCCAATCCTCGCCTGAGGATATTTTTCTATTTATCTTCAGATAGAGTAGAAAGGAGGGAGAGGGAGAGAAAGGGTGAGAGAGAGAAACATCGATATGAGAGACACACATAGACTGGTTGCCTCCTGCACGACCCCAACCAAGGCCGGGGATCGAACTGCAACCGAGTTACCTGCCCTTGACTGGAATCAAACCCGTGACTCTTTGGTCCGTGGGCCGATGCTCTCACCACTGAGCCAAACTGGCCAGGGCTTTTCTTCTTTTTCTTACAACAGTTCCTTTAGTAGTTCTTGCAATGTTGATTTGGTAGTAATAATGTCCTTTAGCCTTTCTTTGTCTGGGAAGCTATTTTACCATCAAAATGAATAATAGCTTTATTGGGTAGAGTAGTCTTGGTTTCAGATATTTGTTTTTCATTACTTTGAATACTTCATGCCAATCCCTTCTGGCCTGAAGTAATTCTGTGTTTGTTTTTATGTATTATACTTGCTATGACTCCCAGTCTCTGTTGGTGGCCTTGTGCAGTAGATGTTCTGTAGGACCCAGTGGCGCGGTCTCCTTCAAGTCCTGAGCTGGATGCTCTAGGAGTGACAGTTTTGTGGGTTATTTGGGCTCTTCTGTTATAATTGGGTCGATTGTTGTTTTCCCATCGTGGGTAGGATCTCCTCTCAGGCTGGTAACTATGAAGCTCACGTTGAGTGAGCTGTTGTGTAGGTGCAAATGAATCTTCCATGCTACTTTTAACCAGTTTAGGGAGTTAGGGTATAGTTTCTGGGTCGCTGGCTCCTAAACCTACATAGTTAGTTTCCCCTGGAAATCAGCAGTTCATTATTTAATGTGTTGAATTTAGTTTACTTTGAGTTGGATATATATAAAAAAGAAAGCACTATCTGAGAGGCAGAGTTAAAAGAATATGCCCGAAGGAGAATGAGGAAGTCATGGAAGTAAAGGGAAGGGATAGTTCAATAAGGGAGGGAGGTCAGCACATGGAGAGATGTTGACAGATCAAGTAAGACAAGGCCAAGATATAAGAGCAACGAGATTGTTGTGATTTAATGAGTGTAATTTCATTGGATGGGGAGGGGTAGAAATCATATTGAAGGATGTGGAGACTAAGTAAGAAAGTTAAGAAAGTTGAAAGAGTAAATAGACATAGCTCTTTGATACAGTTTTTTAGAGATGGTGAAGACAGAGATGCTGGCTGAAGGGTATATGAAGTAGACTTCTGTAGACCCCAAGTTCCTTCAGAGTAAGATAATGTTCTCTTTACTGGTGTTATTGAATATTGCACCTTATCCCTTTGCTAAAGCAAATTCTATAAATGTAAGTTACCTGAGGACAGAAACTGTCTAATTTTTCCTTATACACAGAACCTGACACATCATGTATGTTTAATAAATAGTTGAATGAATTAGAAAAGATATATTTTTCTCTTTTTATATTAAAAAGTGAAATGATTTTTTGTTTTTCTTTCTAGATCAAGCATATGATGGCTTTTATTGAACAAGAAGCCAATGAAAAAGCAGAAGAAATAGATGCAAAAGTAAGATTTCATTTTTTAGGCTTAAGTTACGAAGTTTTATATGTTTTCGGGGGTTTTTTTGCTAAATAATAATTAGTAAAATTGTTTAACAATGCACTGCATAGGACTAATAAGAATCTCTCTTATCTTTACCATTAAAAATAAAATTTTTTTCTAACCACTCTGATGGCCATTAAGTGTCCTGAAATTTTGTGGTAGGGAGTGGGAAAGAAATGACAGAGCCCTGGCCAGTTTGGCTCAGCAGTTAGAGCGTCAGCCCGCAGACTGGAGAGTCCCAGGTTTGTTTCCTACTAAGGGCATGTACCCCCGTGGCAGTTCTTCCCTGGCCCCCTGTGGGTGGTAGCCAGTTGATGTGTCTCTCTCACATCAATGTTTCTCTCTTTCTCTTCCTCCTTTCTCCCTCCCGCTCTATCTAAAAATAAATGCAAAAATGTCCTCAGATGAGGATTAAAAAAAAAAGAAATGACACACATTCCTCAGAGGAGAATTCCAACTAATATATGTAGATAACTTCCCTCTGCAAGAAAGTGGAGCTTAACTCTTCTCCCCAACCACCATCCTTCTCAGAGTGTGGGCTGAACTTAGTGACCAACTTCCAAAGAAGAGAATATGAAAAAGGCAAAATAGTAACTTTACAGTGGAGAAATAAGACTTAACTAAGTCCTCACAGTTAACATCATCAGTGATGTAGGTAATTCATCGGGTTACCCCTAAACATGATAGGAGGAGGACACTTCTCCTATGTGGTATTTTTCTCAAAACCTATAACACCAGCCTAATTAATTTTTAAAAAGGGATATTCTGTAAAATAACAATACACTTCAAAACTATCAAAGTCATATAAACAGGGAAAGACTTAAGAAACTGTCACAGTCAGATGAGATTTAAGGAGACACATGACCAAATAAGAGGTGGTATTCTGGGTCATATTTTAGAAGAGAAAAGGACAGTAGGTAGCAACGAAGGAAACTGAATAATACATGGAGTTTGGTTCATTATAATGGTTGGTGTTAATTTCTTAGTTTTGAAAAATCATGTATATAGTATGTTAAGATGATTTAAAAATGGAGAAATTGGGTGACGGTAGGCTAACATTTTTGCAACTTATCTGTAAATCTAAAATTTTCCAATTGAAACATATTTTAAAAATTGAATTAAAAAGGGAATGCAATGGATAGATTAATTTTCTCATGGAGTCCAGCATTCAGACATTTAGCCTCTGTGACTAAGTGTGATGGTTGGTTAAGGAAGGTATAGTATTTAAAAAATAGTTTTCCCAGGCCAGAGTTGCTCAGTGGTTAGAGTGTTGAACTGCACACTGAGGAGTCACAGATTCAATTCTGGGTCAAGGGCACATACCTGGGTTGCAGGTTCAATCCCTGGCCCCAGTTGGGGCACATGTGGGAGGCAGCCAATCAATGTGTCTCTCTCATATCCATGTTTCTCTCTCTCCCTCCTCCCTCCATCCCTTTCATTCTCTAAAAATCAATGGAAAAATATCCTCAGGTGAGGATTAAAAAAAAGTAAAAATAAATAGTTTGGAAGTATGTAAGGTATAAAATGAAAGCTCCTATCATTACAAAAGTGATAGCAATTAGAAATTGTGTAGATATTTCCAGTTGCACATTGTTTATACACAGAATATTTAGGCAGTACCCAAATTTTCTAAACTTCAAGTTTTGTATTCTTTTTATTAGCCCTCTAGTAAGCAAAAGAATATAGAATAAGTAATAATTTTTTTATATACAGAATATTCTATCTGATTATATCTTTTGTAACTTTTTTTTTTTTTTTATCCTTACCCGAGGACATTTTTCCATTTTTTGTTCAGATAGAGCGGGAGGGAGAGAGAGAGAGAAACATCAACGTGAAGGGACACATCGAGTGGCTGCCACCTGCACGACCAACCAGGGCCAGGGACAAACTGCAACCAAGGTACATGCCCTTAGCGGGAACCGAACCTGGGTCTCTCTGTACCGCAGGCCGACGTTCCAACCGCTGAGCCAAACCGGCCAGGGCTATCTTTTGTAACTTTATTGCTGGGTACTATTATCCTTGATCAAATTTTCAGTCTTCTGATTCATTATTTATGATGAAAATTACTGGTCATTCCTTTTTTTTTTTTTTGTAATTGATTTGAGAGAGAGAAACATCAATTTGTTGTTCTACTTATTTATGCAATTATTGGTTGATTCTTGTTTGTGCCATGACCAGGGGATCGAACCCGCAACCTTGACATATTGAGACAACACCAACCAACTGAGCTACCCGGCCAGGGCCTGATCTTTTCTTCTGAGTAAATTAGGTGATCTTTGAAGATGAATTATAATAAATTTCTTGTTTTTGATATAGAATAAGGTGATTATAAACAAGTACCTCTTGGTCACCATCTGCTTAAAATAAAACTGTCAAAGTCTGGCGTCATGAATTAATTAATTCCCTGGTAGGCAGAAGAAGAGTTCAACATTGAGAAGGGTCGTCTTGTGCAGACCCAGAGACTGAAGATTATGGAATACTATGAGAAGAAAGAAAAGCAGATAGAGCAGCAGAAAAAAATGTAAGTACATCCTGGTCACACAGTATTAAACTAAGGAAACTTTACAAAGTCAGTGGGACAAGAGAATAGAACAGGTACTTTGCAGTCAAGCAAATATGGATTCCTGTCTTAAATGGATAACTTACTGCTTGTCTGACCATGGGCAGGTTGCTTAACTTCTCTTTCCTCATTTGTGAAAGTGGAAGTCTCACAGGATTATTAAAAGATTAAGCTGGAGTAACTGATAAGAAATTGCTTGCCCCTTGGTAGGCACTGAATAAATATTTCCTTATCTTTGAAAATTAGTTGGTAGAAATAACTAAATACATTTTAGTAGAGTTCTCTTTGGGGTATGTACAAAGAGAAGTATTTGTACATACATAGGAAGCTGTATATTTCTTTCTCTATGGTTTTTGTTTTTTACACTGTACTGATACTATTTTTTCATATCTTTTGTAGTCAGATGTCCAATTTGATGAATCAAGCAAGACTCAAAGTCCTTAGAGCAAGAGATGACCTTATTACAGTGAGTAGCCCCTATTATGAAATTATAAGATGTTTATTTGCCTATTATACAGAATTTACTAGTTAACATTGTCTAATTAAAGAATTGAATGATTTTTAGAGAGAGAACATAATAAATACAAAAATGAATAAGGTATGTGCCTTGTCTTTAAGGTCCCTGTGATCTGACAGCGCTCATAGACTCACACAGCACATCACGGGTGGACTACAGTATAAGAGGATGGTGGGCACTAGGGAGTCTAGCGGGGGAGGCTGGAGTTAATTCAGGGGCCGTGTGTGCAGGCCAGAGAGCTTCACCTGTTTTTAACAGAAAGCTTCATTGAAGTTTTATTTTACTTTATGGAGGTTATTATAAATAAGGTTCATGTATGAGTGTGCAGGCTAAATTTAACAGGGAAGAAGTTAGACACAAGAAAACCATTTGGGAAATCTTGTCATCCTAGGAAGAGGGCAGAAACCTACAGAAACATGCCACTTAATTGAGAAAGCCTGGAGGTGTTAGCATTATACTCAGAAACTAAGCAAGGACGCCTGCTGTTATTCCACTGTTACTCATTGTTACTACAGAGGCCCTAGATTCCTATTCCTCATAAAATGGAGAAATAAGAGTTATATACATATTAGGAAGAGACAATTATCATCTTTGCAGATATGTTTGTCTACACAGAAAATACAACATCCATAAAACAGTAAGAACTAGTAATTAGTTCAAAAGATGACTGGCAACACAGAGAACTTACAGAAATTAAGTTTTTGTATATGCCAATGATAACCAATTAGCAAGTCAAACAAAAAGTAGAACTTTTTATAATAGCTACAAAAATTATTTAGTTTTTGGGAATAAATGTAAGTGAATAAGACCTATATATGAAAAAACTATAAAACTTGAATAAATGGAAAACATACCATTTTCTTAGATGATTAAAGAAACAAATTGATACTGTAAGATGTGATTCTTATTAGATGAATCTAACATGATGTCAGTGTTGACACATTTTATAGGAAGACGTTCCAGATGTTGACTACTGATTGATTCCCCTCTTCTAAGTTCAACACCAAATGTTGAATTTCAGGCCTCGCTGACTAGGAGAATGTTGGTTCCATTAACAAAATGGGAAGCTAGAAGGACAAGCTGTTTCAGGAATAATAATCAGCTCACTTTTTGACATACTTTGAGGGACATGGACCAAGAAAATATATTGCTGCTTCAATATTTATGCCCAGAGTCAAAAATGACAAGTGTGACAGCTATTGTGTAGATACTATTTGTACAATTCAAGAGTTTAGAGGCATATAGCTTAAATGATTCAGCAGCCTTTCTAATTTTGAGTACCAAGAGTTATAGCAGCCCTGGCCGGTTTGGCTCAGCGGTTAGAGCATCAGCCTGCAGTTCAGAGAGACCCGGGTTCAGTTCCCGCTAAGGGCACGTACCTCGGTTGCAGTTTGTCCCCGGCCTTGGTTGGGTCGTACGAGAGGCAGCCACTCGATGTGTCCCTTTCACATCTATGTTTCTCTCTCTCTCTTCCTCTTTCTCCCTCCCACTCTACCTGAACAAAAAATGGGAAAATGCCCTCAGGTGAGGATTTAAAAAAAAAAGAGTTATAGCACATACTGTTAAATGTTATAATCTTGACCAGTTATGCTGCCTTTATGAAGAGTTACGATTTTAAAAGTTTAAAGGACCCTGAGAAAGATCACTTAATGTATTGTAGAAACACTTTGGATGCTACATTTTCTGACCGCACTGTCTCAGATGGCATATTTAGGTTTTGTAACCAGATGTATATAGCCCAGTGGTTTAGTAGATTTGACTTTACTTTCTAGTTTTTGTTTTTTTCTTTATTGATTTTTAGAGAGAGAGGAAGGGGGAGAGAGAGAGAAACATCGATGAGATAGAACATTGATTGGCCACCTCCTGCATGCTCCCCACTGGGGAGTTGGCCCACAACCTGGGCATGTGCCCTGACCAGGAATCAAACTGGCGATTGGTGCATGGGTTGACACTCAACCGCTGAGCCACACAGGCCGGGCTAGTTATTTTTTATTTGTTAATCCTCACCTGAGGATATTTTTCCATTGATTTTTTTTTTTTTTAATAGAATGAGAGGGAGGGAGAGAAAGAGAGAAAGCGTGCTTGAAACATCAATGTGAGAGAGAGACACATTGATTAGTTGCCTCCCACATGATCCAGAGTGGGGCCAGGGATCAAACCCGCAATAGAGGTGCGTGTCCTTGATCAGGAATCAAGACTGGAAATCGAACCTGCGACTCTTACATCCGAGGGCCGTCGCTCTAACTGCTGAGCCAAACCTGCCAGGGCTGTGTGTTTTTTTAAGGGAGATGGAAAACACATTTAAATTCTTGTCCATTGGTCTTGAAGTAGAGATTTCTAGTGTTGTGGTTTAAAGAGAGATGAAGTAGAAATGTCTTTGAGGAAGGCCTGCTCACTCTTCAGACTAGGCAGGACCCAGCTAGACATGACTTTGATATTGATGTCATAGCTTTTATTTTCCTGTTTTCCAGGACCAGAATTCTGTTATTTTTACATTCCTTGGAGGCAGTTAGATTCAAGTGAACAGTTAATGCCTTAGGAAATGCATAAAATACTGATGTGTAAGCTGACACACCAACTGTGGAGATTTGCATGTATCTCCTTAGAAAAGCTGCATGGAGTACCAGTTTATAATCAGAAAGCTGTTTAAATGTAGAATCAGAGTGTCACTAGGATATAGTGGTTTGTAACATTATTGATTATAATTTACCTTTCAGACTAGCATAAAGAATATTAAAATTATTGATAATCCCCCCTCTCAAAGGTAAGCAGGGAATTTTTTGAGATAACTCGTTGTTGGTACTGTGATCTCTACCCAGATGTTATCTGTTTTTTTCTTTAAACGAAAAATAGAATTGTCTTATATAACTCTTAATAGCTTGCTTTTCAAATCTATATCATATAACTCTTTCCATGTTAGTGAGCTGTCAGTTTTTGAACTGATTAATAATCTGGGCTATTCTGCCAGTGTGTGAGCTTCCTGGGAGCCATGATGGCTGCTTTGTGCTTCCTTGTACCAATGTGCTCAGGACAGCATCGGGGTTATCATGCCGCAGAGAACATGCTGAATGGAAACAGCAGTAAGCTGGGAAGCAAGCATATGAGCCAATACAGCCACATGATCAGTTTGATGTCAACTACCCAGGCGTGTGCCTAACTCTTTTCTTCTCCACTCATTGTAGGACCTACTAAATGAAGCAAAACAGAGACTCGGCAAGGTGGTAAAAGACACTACTAGGTACCAAGTGCTGCTGGATGGACTGGTCCTCCAGGTACCCTATAGGCCAAGTCTATTACAGTTTATAGCCACAGTTCTTATAAAATTGACAAGGTATATTAGAGGTCAGCTAGCTTTTTCCTCTTTTCTTTAATTTTTTTTTAGAGAGAGAGAAACATCGATGTGAGGGAGAAACATTGATTGGCCGCCTCCTGCACGCCCCCCACTGGAGATCGAGTCCGCAACTCGTGCATGTGCCCTGACCGGGCATCAAACCGGGACCTCTCAGTTTGAGCCACCCCGACCAGGCTCTTTTTCCTCTTTCCTCATCTTAGCTCTTAGCTCTTTTCCTTTTGCTCTGTTCCTTGTCTGACAGAGAAATGTGTGTTACATGAGAAAACCATGAGGCCTGCCTGGGCAGGTAAGACTTCTAGGCTTACCACTCTTTTTTTATCCTCACCCGAGGACATTTCTGCATTTATCTTCAGATAGAGCGGGAGGGGAAGAAGGAGAAAGAGAGAGAGAGAAACATCGATGTGAGAGAGGCACATCGAGTGGCTGCCACCCGCATGACCCCAGCCGGGGCCAGTGACCAACTGCAACCGAGGTACGTGTCCTTAGTGGGAACTGAACCTGGGACTCTCTGGTCCGTGGGCCGACACTTTAACCGCTGAGCCAAACCGGCCAGGGCTAGGCTTACTACTCTTTAAATTAGTTTTCCTAATTTGATTTCACCCCTAAAATACTTGCTTTAGATATTGGGGTTCAGACCAAAGGCTGTATACATTTTTTAAAGGCTGTATACATTTTAATTCTTTACTACTTGTCTCTGAATTCTTATTAATATAAGAATTACAATAATATTACAATAATATTTTACAATTACAGTAATATTTTTCCTCAGTAAATTTTGTCTTTACTACCTGAGCATTGGGTGTATTTATCTGGTTTGTGATATCAAGATTTTGTTTCCATGTTCTTGTATTATACGCTGTCTTTGGGGGATAGTTATAAGGGATAATTTTTTCCAAAAGTAGATGGAAGACTCAAAAACATTCTGTTTTGCTGTTGCTTAATTTTAGAGCTTTTATTTCCTTCTAATTGCATCTGATTGTGTTGTAGGGTTTGTACCAGTTACTGGAGCCCCGGATGATTGTTTGTTGCCGGAAACAGGATTTCCCTCTGGTAAAGGTAAAGAGCTCAGAAAAGTCTTTCTTTGAAAGAGCAGAAATGGGGATGAAATGCATGCTCTAATGGATGACAGCTCAACCATGGGGATTAGAGGGGTCTCAACACATTGAAGATACTCATTGAAGAGACCTCAGCATCTAATTTCTTAAAGAAGTCGCATTGCCATCTGAGTTTGTACCTGCTCCCTTTCTGGAGATTTTGTAAGAACCTAGTCTTCTGAAAACGCAGCAGCAGAGGCAGCACCTACTGGAATTGAGCAAAGACAGACAATGCTATCTTTTTTTTTTTTTAATCTTCACCTGAGGATATTTTTCCGTTTCTTTTCAGACAGAGTGAGAGAGGGGAAGGGAGGGCGGGAGAGAGAGAGAGAGAACATCGATGTGAGAGAGACACATCTACTGGCTACCTCCTGCACGACCTGACCAGGGCAAGGGACGAACTGCAACTGAGGTACATGCCCTTGACCAGAACCAAACCCCCAACTCATCGGTCCATGGGCCAACACTCTAATCACTGAGCCAAACCGGTCAGGGCCAGACAATGCTATCTTAAATTGGCAAACGGCTCTCAGACCAGTAAGGCTTGGCTCTAGCCTAATACATTCCTAGATCTAGAGAAAGAAGGTGGGTACCATAGAGAGGTTGATCAACAGTGAAAACATCACTGTAGCTCCAGGAGCAAATATTGCGGTGCTCCTCCATGCCCTGCCTAAGAGAGAAGGTGCCCTGGTCCGAAGACGACCTGCTGGCCCCAGGACAGGCACATGTAGGCTGTAGTAGTAGTTGGACGCACTGTGCTGAAGGAGAGACTCTGGGACACTTCAAGTCAAAGCATGGACTCCCCTAGCTGTGGTTCTGTGCTATCAAATTGCTCTTTAGATTAAATTCTTCCATATGGCTTGCTTTCAGGCAAGGAAGTGAGTGCTCAGTCCCTTAGCAATCACCTTTCTTATAAATTCATACATTTATAATACATGATATATTTTCATCGTCCCTAAATAACTTACCTCCTAGGAAAGGAAATGTGTCAGCCAGATTACTTAGGTGTTTATTCCCCTTGGTCTCCATGATAAGTTAGCAGACTGGTTCTAGTCTATAAATCATGTCCGTAACCCGGACCCATGTTTGTGCTGGCAGCCTCGTTTGCGAGCCTTTACAGCAGAGGTAATGTAACTGAGTTCCCTGGGGTGGTCATCTTGCCATGGAGGCCGGTCCAGCTACCGACTGGCTTTTCTAGATGACACAACAGTATTGCTGGGTGTCAAGCAAATTTCTTCTTGAAATTAACAGAGTGTCAACATCCAGTGTCCTAAGTAGCTCTCTAAAGTGGTGCAATATTAGATTTGAGGAGCAGGGAAGAGTAGAATATATGCATAAATCTGCTCAACTGGTAGTATTGTCAGAAGAAAACATTAACGTTCCTTCATAGAAAATGTTAGTTACATTTGTACTAGAGTGTGTACAATATTATTCAAAGGACTTTCCATCAATTATGTTTTATCACACTAATTGCAGTATAGTAAGGTAAAAACTCACTTTCATTTATTTTTTCCAATGAGCTTATTTCTTTATAAAATTGGTAAAATGTACATAGAAAGTTAACCATTTGTTTTAAATGGACATTTGTTTCAAGTCCATGCATTGTTGTGCAGCCATCACCATCATCCCCAGAACATTCATCTTCCCTAACTGAAACTCTGTCCCCATTAAACACTCCCTTCCCCGTCCCCTCATCCCTGCCCCTAGCAGCCACTACTCCACTTTCTGTGTTCACAAATTTAACCACAGTAGGTACCTTATACAAGTAGAATCAGAGCATTTGTCCTTTGTGTCTGGCTTCGTTCGCTGAGTACAATGCCTTCAGGTCCACCTTGTGCTGTAGCACGCGTCAGAACTCCCTTCCCTGGTAGAACGGCGTTGCACCGTTCTTGTCTGCTCCCCTCTCAGTGGACACGGGCTGCCCCGAGTTTGGCTGTGGGAACAGTGCTGTGCGTCGGTGCACGGCGCCTGAGTCTCTGCGTGCATCTATTTGGATGGACCCAGATGTAGAATTGGTGGAGCATATAGTAAATTTTTGTTTAATTTTTTGAAGAATTGCTACACTGTTTTCTACAGTGTCTGTACCATGTTATATTCCACTAACAATTTATTATTCTACTTGAAATATATAGCTGCTTGTATAATTTGTGGGGTTTTTGTTTCTGGGTTTTTTGTTTCTGGAAAAAAGAGTTTGTGCTAAAACCTGTCATCATTTTCTGCTTTTCCAGGCTGCCGTGCAGAAAGCAATCCCTATGTACAAAATCGCCACCAAAAGAGATGTTGATGTCCAAATTGATCAGGAGACCTACCTGCCTGATGAGATGTAAGGAGTATTCCTGCTTTAACATGTGCTTTCTGTCACTGGGAGGATGGCCTTTAGACTGGGCCTTTTGTAAATGGTTTTCTCCAAGACCCTCTTTGTCACAGGACAGGTGTGGCTGTTTTTTCTGTCAGTGCTTGGTTGTGGTTCTTCCTCGTTAGTCTGGTAGACAAACTCTAAAAGTCTAGCTTCTTAGGCCACTCAGTTTTATTCTGCAGAAAAGCAGCACTAATTCTGGACCCAGAACTCAAAGCTGGGTCCAGATCTCTTAGATTCTAAAGAATATAATCTCTACTTCTAAGCGGCCATCAGAAATGGAAAAGTAGTCCTGGATAACTAAACCGATGGCTGGGCTCCTAGGGCACAGAACCGAAAACCCCACCAGCACGTATGTTGACTGAGGCGATGATGGAACATTTCTTCCGTATCCCTCGTAAACTTCACGCAGGTGGGACAGGCAGTAAAAACTGCTGAGAAGGGGAGAGCTAGGTTCTCTCTCCATTGCATCTGTCTGAATTATGCTGGCATTGCAGAGAGCCCTTGGGACATGGGCAGAGTTGAGAGAGCACCAGTCGTGTCAGACCTACATGGCCATGGGGCCTGGAGCCTAACCCATCTTCTGTAGAGTGGGATCTGTGATTCTGCTTCTTTGTTTCATAAAATGAGGAAAAGAGATGGAGTGTGTTGGTGTGGAAGTGCGGAGTGCTTCACAAACCGAGAAGGTGTGTGCGCATGCACACAGGTGCAGGTTCAGGTTTGATTCTCCACTCTGCACGCACTCTGCACCCTCGTCTCTAAATTGGGACAATAACACCTCTTCACAGAAGTCTTGGAAGCTTAAATGACATGATGTCTGCAGCACTCACCACAGCCTGGTGCACGCGCAGGCCCAGCCAGGCCGGCCTTACCGTGGAGAGGAAGCAGACAGGTGGTAAAGGAGAGGTTTCAGTCAAGGCCACTGTTCCCGAAACCTTTGGGGCCAGGTGTTTAGCATTTCAGCATTTATAAAAGTTCATGGAGCACATGTACCACATGTTACACAGTATCTCCAAGCAGGTCTGAACATAAGGGTACTCGCACTGTGAGGGACAGACAGGTAGGTATCGATGTGTGGTTGTGTGCTGCCCAGTGACCAGAGTCAGTGCAGGTTTTTGCATCACACAAATTAAGTTTTTTTGTTTCAGAGCTTTTTGAATTTCAGAATTGCAGATGAAGGATTGTGGGCTTACTCCAGTGGAATTTAAAGTGGAATTTTAAATATTGCCATTTTACTCAATAAATGTGTCATTTTATTAAACCTCTAAGCCTGTGTTATTTGTAAAATGGTGAGGATACCAAGACTCAGGTTATTGGGAAGACAGAGTCCTAGAAAGCCCTGGGTCTCACCTTCAGTGAGTGCCTGGCACCCAGGAGATACTCCCACAGAGAGGTGGTCTTGCTTCCCTCACTCCCCAGCAAGACAAGAAGTTGTATTACAGACGGTGGGTCAGGATTTCAGCAAAGAGCCAGCCATGCCCTTATGAACAGTACAGTCTGTTATAGAAACCAAAGGTAGATAAAACAAAGAAATGGCTGTGAGGGAATATGAAGTAAGAAGATAATATTAAGGTCATAGTCCATTAAAATTTCCAAAAGAAAATTTGCAAAACCTTACCCAGCCTTTGTCTCATAGCCTGCTTATTTCAAGAAATATTTGGTGAAGTAAAATTTTGGTGTAGAAAAGAATCCCATTCCCTAGGCTCTGTATTGTGGAAATGGAGCCATTTGCCACGTGTCTGTGAGGTGCTGAGAAGCCAAGGAAGGGACCGGAAGTGAGGCTCCGGGGGGGCCTTTTGGGGGTTCGTCGGTAAAGGGTGACCACGGCACCTTCCATCTGACACAGTCGGGCCTTACCAGTACCGCTGGTAATTAGCAGAAAATCAGGTTGGCACGTAGCAGTCATTGGGTAAATGACGGTTATTAGCATCCATACCTTAAATCCGAAGAAACTTTTTGAATTTATTTTAAGCTTACTGCTTATGTTTATTGGCCCCTTGTATTGTTTAGACACTCCACATCCCAAAATTTTCCTCCAAGAGAATCAAGTAATCCACGTGTGTCTGACTTCCTCAAATCCATAAAAATTATTTCCTCTGTTCTTTGTAGAGCTGGTGGAGTTGAGATCTATAATGGGGATCGTAAAATAAAGGTTTCCAATACCCTAGAAAGCCGACTGGATCTCATAGCTCAGCAGGTGAGTGTGGGAATACTTCCCTGTAGTTGGTCTGTCACTTTGAAGTGATACAGGAACACATCCATTCACTGGTGTTTGGGATTTGTTGCTCTCGACATTTTTGACATTTTCTTAAAAAGTACGGGATTAGACATTTACTAAAGCAGTACCATATACACGAGAGAGGATTTGGGGTCAGAATAAGGGGCTTGTTTGTCTAGGAATATAACGTAAACATTTACTGCATGTGGAGATGCTGACTGAAGTTCTTCTCCAGCTAGAATGGCAACTAAAGTAAATCACTTGTTTAAAGAAATTACCATAGGGCTGCCGCTCTTCAAATGGTCCGGTGTTTGCACAAATAAACTTTGGAAAAAAGGCAGAGCAATGTGTTTGTTGCAAAGTGCTGGGCATCTCCCCGCAGTTCTGACCTGCCGCCGGCTTGTCTCACAGGAAAGCACTTGCCGCTGAGGAGATACGTCACCTTCGTAACTCCAACCGCACAGCTTTATTGCCCAATCGAGCAGCCGCTCGCTACAAAGGATATTTAAATTAAGTAAAATTAAAAGTTCAGTTCCTCAGCTCTGCTAGCCACATTCAAATGTACAGTAACCACATGTGCCTAGTGGCTACCCTATTGAACACAGCCTTAGAAGTTTGAGGTTAAAGCCTAAAGATTTTTTTTTTCATTTTCCTCTGCCATCTTTTTTTTTAAATATATTTTGTTCAGATAGCGTGGGGGAGAGAGAGAGAAAACATCGACATGAAAGGGACACATCGAGTGGTTGCCACCCTCACAACCCAACCAGGGCCGGGGACAAACTGCAACCGAGGTACATGCCCTTAGCGGGAACCGAACCCGGGTCTCTCTGGACCGCAGGCCGACGCTCTAACCGCTGAGCCAAACCGGCCAGGGCTCATTTTTTTTTTTTTAATCCTAAGGATTTTTCTGTTGCAATAACAAGTACCTCAGCACAACTTGCATTGTATGTTTTCTGCTTGTTCCTTGGCACTTAGGAAATATTTATTGAGAGAAAGAATGTAGGTGATACATATATTATGATGAGGAGATAAAACTGTTAACAGACTCTTCTCCCAACATCATAATATAACAGAAGCCTTAGATAGTATAGTTCTTTTATTTTTTTAATTTAGCAATTTTTTTTTTTAAATTTTTACTGGAGGGTATTTTTTCCTTTTTTTTTTTTTTTTAAGACAGTGGGCGGGCCCTAGCTGGTTTGGCTCAGCGGTTAGAGCATCGGCCTGCGGGCCAGAGAGACCCGGGTTCAGTTCCTGCTACGGGCACGTACCTCGGTTGCAGTTTGTCCCCGGCCCTGGTTGGGTTGTGCGGGTGGCAACCACTCGATGTGTCCCTTTCACATTGATGTTTCTCTCTCTCTCTCTCTCTCTCTCTCTCTCTCTCTCTCTCTCTCCCTCCCTCCCACTCTGTCTGAAAAAAATATGAAAAAAATATCCTCCGGTGAGGATAAAAAGAAAAAAGACAGTGGGCGGGAGGGAGGGCAAGAAAGAGAAACATTGAAGTGAGAGAGACAAATGAATTGGTTGCCTCCTGCACTTACCCTGACCAGGGCCAGGGATTGAACCTGCAACCCAGGTATGTGCCCTTGACCAGGAATCAAACCCACGACCCTTTGGTCTGCGGGCTAGCCCTCTATCTGCTGAGCCAAACTGACCAGGGCTCTTTGTCCCTTTAAAGCAGTCAGTCTTAGCCCCAACTTTGTGACTGGTTAAGTTTCTCACCAAGGGTCCTTTGACAGATTTGATGCTCATAGCTTTGAGTTACCCTTTCCAGTCGGTTAGGGTTTATGACTTGATACACTTCTTCATAAATGGTGATGGAAGGAGACTTGATTTTGGGTGGTGAACACACAGGACAATGTACAGATGCTGTATTATAGAATTGTACCCCTGAAACCTGTATACTTTTATTAACCAATGTCACCCCAATAACTTCAATACAAAATTTTTTTTTTAAATGTGCAATTCTTCCCAAGATCTCCTATCAACAGCGCTTATTTATTAAAGATCTTATTTATTCACAGATGATGCCAGAGGTACGAGGAGCCTTGTTTGGTGCAAATGCCAACAGGAAGTTTTTGGACTAAGCCTATGGGAGGTGGAGTTCATGCACTGCTCCGACATGGAAGTTTCTGATATTTGAAGACAGAATGATCTGTGTAGCTTCCTCTCTGCTGTTCTAATATTCTGTATGTATCAGTGGATATCCTGTACTAACGCCCTCGCCTAATTGTTAACAATGGAAGAAAGTTTCATTTAATGTGATCAGGAACCTACCTAAAGCTTATCTAAAGTAACACAACTTGCAGTTGATTCTGCAGCATGAAGGTGTCATCCGGTGGTGGTTGCATGGACGTCACCCAGTCTTCTGCTTTTCCTCTGCTCTAGTTCTCTCCAGAGGTGGTGTGTGCGGTGCCTGCAGCAAGTCTGCGCTCTAGGCTCAGTGTGCACGTGGCCTGCGCTCCCCCGCAGTAGTCGCTTCACCGTCACCCCTTGAGCCTAGCAGTGCTCCTTATCTGTGACTGTGATGTCAGATCTCAGCCGTGATGCTTTATTTATTAAAACGCTTAAATGAATTTAATTGTAATTTATTATGCAAGACACTAAGTTTGTGGTTTGAGAGAGTCAAGTTCTTTGTGAGGTATCTGGAAAAGAAACCATTTTCCAGATCTCTAGAATTTGCTGGCTGACAGCGATCCGTACCTGACACACTGACCCTCCCTGTGTTTGCTGGCACTTGCTGCTCCTGTTTCCAGACCCTGCTCAGAAGGGTTCCTTTTAGCCCCTAAAGCTGCCACATGGACCACACATACAGGTGCTCAGCGTGGTCTCAGGGTTTGACAGCTTCGGGGAGGAAATTGTTCACTAGCTTTGGCCAAGTCAGAAAAGAAAAGAAACTAAGGTTTTAGGGAGGGGTTGCCCTGTGTTAGGCCTAAACACTGTTCTTCCACCCACTCTTCACTTTCATGCCATTTGGTTTTGAAATGAACACAGAAAGGTAGGTGACCACCTGTTCGTTGCAGTCTTTCTGCTTCTTTCAGTAATTACAAGATAAGATTATAACTGGTCAGCTTTATTTCAAACCATTTCCATGGACATGGGTCTGTAAGAGCCTGTTGTTCAGAAGGAGGATGTGGGGCAGGATGGTAGCCCCGCCTTTGCCCAGGTGCTCAGTGTTAGTCGGCCTTATCCATCAGCCAACCACGATGTGAAAGGGTTTGCTTGGTTTTGAAGTTGGTGCTGCTTTTAAGGACATTAATGGTCTCTTTAAACTTCTGATTCTCCTTTTTTCCAAAATGAGTACTAGATCTAACCACAGTTATTTAACCCAGATGAACAGAACTAAGGCCTTCAACTGACTCCAGGAAACAGCTTAAGTGTGAACTAGAGATGTAAAATGCAGAAACAGCCCTCCTATCCTGTCTCATTAAGACCCTACAATTAATACAACCAAGCATGTGCTGTTTTTGTTGTTGAAAGGTAGGTGGCTAGGTCACTGAAGGGAGAATAGGGCTGTAGCCAGCTCGCATTAGAATAAGGTGGTTTCTTCTGAGACAGGTAGCAGCTCTACAACTTAGAGCACAGAACACAGTGTGCTGGGCCAGCCTGCCCTCCCCCTCTAGATCAGGTGGGCTGGATAGTTGGCAGCCAGTGAAGGGTCCTGAGCTCCAGCTGGGTCTACTCGAAGCACTTTAAGATGCGCTCTCCAATACCAATGAAGTAGACGCCTTGGGCAATCCCAAAGAGAGGGGCGATGACCAGGGCCCGGCAGCCTGCTCCTTTAACGAAGGCAGATGGTCCCTCCTGAATCCAGAGTTTCCTGGGGAGGAAGAAGAGCCCTGTGAACTGAGTGGCAGAAGTACACTATGCGCAGTGCTCAGGGACATCCTCTGCAACAGGCCGTGTACATCCTTCCTTTTGGTAGATGTCACTTTCCACAGCAACACCAGATCCCAGGAATGTGGGAGCACTTGGGTTACTAAGCATTGGGTCCAGGCTGTGAAAAGTGGGTTCAAGGTGCTACTTTGGGGGAAGGATGCCTTGGGGATGCAAAGAAGAACAAAGCTCCCAGCACACCCTGCTTTTGTGGAGGGGGAAGGGAAGGGGAGTGAGACGCAGAGCTTGGTGTCGTGCAGCGCTAACCTGTCCTCTAGGTCGGGGCTGGGTGGACACCCTCCAGAGGGACTGACCCCACATCTGTGCAGGGACAGGGGCCTCACCTGGCACAGTCAGTGATCCCACTGTAGCTGTCCTCACCCAGGCCTTTCTTGAGGGTTTGGATTCGAGTTTTCAGAACTAAAGCAAAAGGTAAAATAAGTAGGGAACGTTTTCCTTTGGGTATTCTCTTAACATTAAGTGGCCAGGCTTCCTTCCGTAGCCAGCACACAAAACAGTCCTGAGGCCGCCTCTGCCTGGGCATCTGGAGTGTGGGAGCTGCCCCTCTGGGCTCGTGTCTAAAACAGGAATGAGAAACTGGTCCTTCAGTTCCTCGGGCTGTGGACAGCCCGCCTGCTAGAGGAGCCGCCGCTGCCTCCTGAGGGGAGCACTGTCTGCTCTGTGCGCCTGCCTTCAGCCTTCGATTCTAAAGCACCAGCAACATTCACAGCTGATGCTCACAACTCTACCTGGGGACAAAAGCTAGTGAAGTCAGCACCTAGAAAGTAGGGATTTGTCAGTGACGAGAGAAAGTGAAGGTCTCCTTGACCCCACTTTCTGGGCAGACCTGACTGGCCACAGGCTATATAACCCAAGAATTTTAGGTTGGGCTGTTTCACCTCTATCCTAAAAGTACAGAATTACTACTTACCCTATGAATGACTATGCAGGTGACGAGTCTGTAAAGCAAGTCAACACTAAAGCCCTTGCATCTCTACACACTCACCATCCAGGGGCGTTACTGCGATGGCTGCCACGGAGCCTGCAGCACAGCCTGACACAAAGGAGTGAGCGAAGGAAGCCTTCCCGGTGAGCTCGTTGAGCCCGAGGTGGTTGAGGTTGGCAAACAGGGGGAAGTAGATGACGGAGAATGGGATATCTCTGCAGGGAGGAAGAGAAGCAGCCATGTGCCGCTCGGGGCTGCTGCCCAAAGTCACAGCCAGCCCGTGAGCTGCAGGGGGCAGAGAGGCCCACAGCTCCGCCCTCCTGCCCTGGCACCCATGATAATGTGGGGTGATAGCATAGAGATCAGCTTGACTCGCCTTCCCCCACCATCCTGGCTCATTCCTTCCGCCCTCCGAGCACCTGCAACCTAGTGAAGAGCCAGGCGCAGACCCAATGACTGGTGGCAGCTCTGAAGGGGACACAGGCTGCCGGGAGAGGACGCTGAGCGAGTTCCTGGTGAGGAGCATAAGCTAAGTTTTGAGGGTATGGGACGGGCAGGAAGGTGAAGTTCATTTGTTGCCCAGGGAATAGAAAATTAACCCCTGCGCTGGTCGGGTAGTTCAGCTGGTTAGAGCATCATCTCGATACTCCAGGGCTGTAGGTTCCAACCCTGGTCAGGGCACATACACAAAAAAGTGGAACAACAAATTGATGTTTCTCTCAGATCAATCAGTGAAAAATTTTAAAGATTAACTCCCTCTTTAAAAAAAGAAAAGGAGCCCTGGCCGGTTTGGCTCAGCAGTTAGAGCGTTGGCCTGCGGTCCAGAGAGACCTGGGTTCGGTTCTCGCTGAGGGCATGTACCTCGGTTGTGGTTTGTCCCCGGCCCTGGTTGGGTCATGCGGGTGGCAGCCACTCGATGTGTCTCTCTCACATCAATGTTTCTCTCTCTCCCCTCTCCCCCTAATGTGCTATTAAATGCAAAATGTCCTCAGGTGAGGATTAAAAAGAAGAAGAAGAAAACTAACCCCTGGCATAGGACACTTCTGATCAACTTTAAGGATTTGGGCCAAGTAGCAAAGTCAAATGAGGAGATATATGTACTCATTTACTTAGAGACAGTCTTTTGTACACAGGACATTCTAGGTGCCTTTGGGCCACAGAATGCCCAGTAACGTGGGCCTGGTCACTGGAGAAGGGGCCTAACAGTCGTGTAGGTACCCATGTGTGCAGCCCTGCCTAATCCTGGACAAAATACGAAGCACAGAGATAGTCTGAATATTCTGGGAAGAACTCACCTGAGGAGAGTCGCTCCCAAGCCCCTATAGAGACCAGCCAGGCCCTGGGTGTGAAGCAGCTCCCAGGCAATGAGGGTGGCAGAGGGCCGCTTGTGGGTGGGAGCCGAGCCAATGGTGCAGGGCCTGGGGGAGGAGGGTGCTGGGGCCGAGCCCTGGCGGACTGCTGACGGGGAGAGGACAGGCCCGTCACAGCCCCGGCGGACTGCTGACGGGGAGGGGACAGGCTCCCGTCACAGCCCCGGCGGACTGCTGACGGGGAGGGGACAGGCCCGTCACAGCCCCGGCGGACTGCTGACGGGGAGGGGACAGGCTCCGTCACAGCCCCGGCGGACTGCTGACGGGGAGGGGACAGGCCCGTCACAGCCCCGGCGGACTGCTGACGGGGAGGGGACAGGCTCCCGTCACAGCCCCGGCGGACTGCTGACGGGGAGGGGACAGGCCCGTCACAGCCCCGGCGGACTGCTGACGGGGAGGGGACAGGCCCGTCACAGCCCCGGCGGACTGCTGACGGGGAGGGGACAGGCTCCCGTCACAGCCCCGGCGGACTGCTGACGGGGAGGGGATAGGCCCGTCACAGCCCCGGCGGACTGCTGACGGGGAGGGGACAGGCCCGTCACAGCCCCGGCGGACTGCTGACGGGGAGGGGACAGGCCTGTCACAGCCCAGGCCCAGCACGCTGCCAGCACACGTGTGGCTCCCAGTCCCTAGCTCGGACAGCTCAGACAAGGTGAGCAGCCACTAGGGTTCTGGGGACTGTCCTTATTTTAGAACATTAATTTTTGCCTCCAAATAAACGTTATAAGATGTATACTGTTTAACGAGCTGTCCCTGCTGCACAGGGCGCTTGCCCAGAACATAGCCATCCTTCTCGGCTCTGTCTGGGAAGCTGTGGAAGCATGTCCCCCCCCCCCCCCCGCCAGTCCCTCCTCCTGTTTCCAGTCTGTCTTCTGTTTCTACCATCTCTAAACCTATGTACGTAGTTTCACCCTCTCGTCACTTTGGGACAGGGGAATCCTGCATAGTTTCGGCCTGGTGTGGAAAGGAGCAAATTCTTTCATTTAAAAACGATCTCCTTCAGCTCTGGGCAGTACTGCTCAGTGGACTGGAGCGTCGTTCTGCACACCAAACGGCTGTCTGATTCCCTGACCCCTGGGGGCAGCTGATGGATGTTTCTCTCTCTCCTCTCTCAATTTAAAAATGGATTAGAATAACGTATCTCCTTAGTATTCTTTTTTTTTATCCTCACCCGAGGACATTTTTCCATTTTTTGTTCAGATAGAGCGGGAGGGAGAGAGAGGAAGAGAGAGAGAGAAACATCAATGTGAAAGGGACACATCGAGTGGCTGCCACCAGCACGACCAACCAGGGCCGGGGACAAACTGCAACCGAGGTACGTGCCCTTAGCGGGAACCGAACCCAGGTCTCTCTGGTCCGCAGGCCGACGCTCTAACCGCTGAGCAAACCAGCCAGGGCTTAGTATTCTAAGATTGGGTGGACATGTCCTTTATTCCCTGCATCATTTTATAGAATTTGATTCTTGAGATGTCAACTCATTTTAGTTGAATAAGGCAGAGCTCATAATATAATGAATTAAACATCTACTAGAATGTAATTATTTTTTTCTGAGCGTATTAAATACAAGCATTTCAAATGTGGTGGAGTCCCATTAATGACCACAGGATTCAATTCACCGAAATGGAATATTGATTCTCTTAATGCTCAATGTTTGGGTAGCTTTGCATAGATTATATATTTTTGTTGAAAGGAAGCTATTTCATATTCAGCAGGGCAGAATTTCATCAGAAGAAGCTAGTGACGACATATTTTCTTACGCTGGTAATCTGGGGCCACAGGCCTCAGGCAGTCTAATCAATGAATGTTGTTTTACCCATGTCTTTTAGGTGCACGTGATTCGCCTATATCCTGTCTTTCTCCTCTTTAAAATGTTTTAAGGATACTGAGACTTCTTATCCAAGTTGAAAAACAAAATGGTACAAAGCCTTTTACTCTGCAGAGCAAGCAGTGAGGGCTTCCCAGTGCCTGAACTGGTTCTCTCTGCCGTTCTGCCGGCTGGCCCGGCCCACCTGAGCAGGGCGCATGGGTGGCTGGCTGCAGAAGGGGAAGGGCACCCACATCTATGGGAGACCTTGCCAGGTGCTCTGTTGGGCACATGGCATGTTGGCTTATTAATTTCAGATGTTGTGGTTGGGCCCTGTGTCCCACCCTGCCAGGGTTGGCCTCCTTCCATTAAATGGCCAACCTATGCTCTTACTATATGCTTTGGTACCTACATCACTCTATATTTTTGTGAGGACCAGATTTTAGCAAAGGACCAAACTTTAGAGAAAGCCAAAAAAATAGAAATGGTCCTCTTCTCCCTTTTTATACCTTCCCAATAAAGCCCAGTTCGTAGCATAACACAGTACAGCATAGTAAAGCTTCCATTGGCAAGTATTCATGAGTAGGCCATTGACATTTCCTAAAATCTTTAGAAAATCAAGCCTAAATGTCAAGGCAATATAATAGAGATATTAGGGTGAGTTCTCTGTCCTTCCCAAATCAAGATTTTTCATCTCTGCTATTTGTTCTAGATCTGCAAGTGCTGAGATCAAGAGTAGTAACCATAAAAGATGTCTGCTGCCCTGGCTGGTTTGGCTCAGCATTTAGAATGTTGGCCCACAGACCAGAGATTCCCGGGTTTGGTTCCCACTAAGGGCACATACCTCGGTTACAGTTTGTCCCCAGCCCTGGTTGGGGTCATGTGGGTAGCAAGCAGTCAATGTGTCTCTCACATTGATGCTTCTCTCTCACCTCCTCCCTCTCTCCCTCTCGCTCTATCTGAAGATGAATGCAAAAATGTCCTCGGGTGAGGATTAAAAAAAAGACGTCTGCTGACCTAGAAAGCTGATTGGATCACACAGATTAGCAAATGAGTGAAGATGTGGAAAAAATCTATTCTGACCATGGCCCTTAATTAATTCCATGTGAAGTTGGGATAGGCCTCACCCAAGCGCCCAGCATCCTGCAGCTGAATCTTGAGCATTTCCATGGGACAGGTAACCACCACCTGGCACATTCCAGCTCCACATCCAGCTAGCATCTCCATCTTCAGATTCTGCTGCGTCCTGTGGGACCAGGAGTTGGTATCCCTGTCACAGGCCAGCCCTCCTGTCCCACCTTGGCCAGTGGTTAGGACTTTTCATGCATGGTATTTAGCCTTCTTCCCATTGCCACTCACCCAGCTAAGTAAAGAATTACTTGGCCTTCAGGCTCAGTCTCCTTGAAGATATAACCCTAAATTTAAAACAGGTCGCCACAAAGGTAGCACGGAAGTTGCATGGAAGTTGAAACTGGTGCAGTGAAAATACCCACTGTAGGAACCTGACTGTTCCCGATCCCTTAAGCAACATCACTAAGACAATGGGAAGCAGAAAGAAAACAAAACTACTTGGGGTTGACTTTTAAAAATTCATCAGCATAGCCCTGGCCAGGTAGCTCAGTTGGTTAGTGTCGTCCTGCTACACTGAGTGCAGGTTTGATCCCCAGTCAGGGCACATATAAGAATCAGTCAATGAATGCATAAATAAGTAGAACAATAAACCAATGTTTCTCTTTCTCTCTAAAAATAAATTTTCGTTTTTTGCGTGCCGAGCAGCAGCCGCGGAGGGGTGGGGAGGGGTGGGGAGAGGGGGACTGGGAAAGTTGAAAAAAAATAATAATAATAAAAATAAATTTTCAAAAAATTTATCAGCATAAAAAAAGGCTCATAATCAATGGAACAGAATTGGGAGCCCAGAAATACACCCCTTCTCAACTAACATGTGACAAAAGAGCCAAGAACTGTCAGTGAAGACAGTCTCTTCAATAAATGCTGCTTGAAAAACTGGGTATTCACATGTAAAGGGATGAAACGAGAGCCCTATCTTAGAAAACACAAAATCTAATTTGAAATGGATCAAAGACTTAAATGTAAGACCTGAAATCATAAAACTAGAAAGAAACAGGGGAAAAGCTCCTTGACATAGGTCAACCTAAAAGCACAGCCCAGCCGGTGTGGCTCAGTGGTTGAGCATTGACCCATGCAGCAAGAGGTCGCCGGTTCAATTCCCAGTTGGGGCACATGCCCAGGTTGTGGGCCAGATCCCCAGTGGGAGGCATGCAGGAGGTAGCCAATCGGTGTTCTCTCTCATCAATGTTTCTATCTCTCTTCCTTCCAGTCTCTAAAATCAATAAAGAAAAAATATTTAAAAGAGAAAAAATTTTTAAAAACACAAGCAACAAAAGCAAAAATCAGTAAATAGGACTACATCAAACAGAAGCTACACAGCAAAGGAAACAGCAACAGAATGAAAAGTCAACCTATGGAAAATAACAGAAAATATTTGTTAATCATACATCTGATAAGGGGTTAATATTCAAAATATATAAAGAACTTATACAACTTGATAGCAAAACAAAAGAAAAACAAACAAAAAAAACCCAACAACAACAAATAGTTAAGTTAAAAATTATCAAAGGATCTGGGTAGGCATTTTTTCAAAGAAAATATTGAAGTTGCCAGCAGATACATGAAAAGGTGCTCAACATCACTAATCATCAGTGAAATGCAAGTCAAAACCATAATGAGATCACCTCACATCTGTTAGAATGTCATCCAAAAGACAAGTGATGATAAAGGCTGGTGAATCTGTGAAGAAGAAGGAACCCTCATGCACTGCTGGTGGAATTGCACAATGGTGCAGCCACTATAAGGAACAGTCTGGGGTTTCATTAAAAAATTTTAAATATGGTTGGCACAAAGGGAAAATGACAGTGGAGTGAATGGAAGCTTCACTGACCATCTCCCAGGACCAGAGTGGAATTAAAACTAAAATAAAAAAAAGGTCATCTGGAATAACCAACTGAAGAGCAGCTGGAGAGAACACTTATAACCAGGGACATAAAGAGGACCCCAAATTGAGACTGGTAGGAGGTGTGGAGGCATGAGAGTGCTGGCTGGGCTCCTTCAGGCAGCAGCTGAGGGCTCTCTGAGCAGTGAGAAGTGCCCCCTAAGAAATTGAGGGTTTAATCACCTAAGGCAACAGAAACAAAGGAGAAAATGAACACACGGGACTACATCAAACTAAAAAGCTTCTGCACAGCAAAAGAAACCACCATCAAAATAGAAAGGCTACCCACTGTATGGGAGAGCATCATTGTCAATGATATATCAGATAAGGGGTTAATTTCCAAAATATATAGAGTACTCATACAACTCAACAAAAGGAAGACAAAGAACCCCATTAAAAAATGGGCAGAGGAGCCCTGGCCGGTTTTGCTCAGTGGTTAGAGCTTCAGCCTGCGGTCCAGAGAGACCTGGGTTCGGTTCCCACTAAGGGCATGTACCTCGGTTGCAGTTTGTCCCACCCCTGATTGGGTTGTGTGGGTGGCAATCACACGATGTGTCCCTTTCATGTTGATGTTTCTCTTTCTTTCTCTCTCTCTCTCTCTCTCTCCCCCACTCTATCTGAACAACAACAACAACAAAAAGGAACAATGTCCTCGGGTGAGGATGAAAAAAAATGGGCAGAGGAGCTGAATAGACACCTCTCCAAACAGGACATACAAATGGCCAAGAGACATATGAAGAAATGCTCAACATCACTAATCATCAGAGAGATGCAAATTAAAACAACAATGAGGTATCACCTCACACCTGTCAGAATGGCCGCCATCAACAAATCATCAAACAACAAGTGTTGGCAAGGGTGTAGAGAAAAGGGGACTCTAGTACACTGCTGGTGGGAATGCAGATTAGTGCAGCCACTATGGAAAACAATATGGTGTTACCTCAAAAAATTAAAAATTTAACTTCCATTTGACCCAGTGATCCCTCTTCTAGGAATATACCCTAAGAAGCCTGAAACACCAATCAGAGAAAATATATGTACCCCATGTTCATAGCAGCACTATTTACAATAGCTAAGATCTGGAAACAGCCCAAATGTCCATCAGTAGACGAATGGATAAAAAAGCTGTGGTACATATACCCAGTGGAGTACTATTCAGCTGTAAGAAAGAAAGATCTCTTATCCTTTGAGACGACATGGAGGGACCTGGAAAGTATTATCCTAAGTGAAAGAAGCCAAGCAGAAAAAGACAAATACCACATGATCTCACTTATTTGTGGAATATAATGAACATAACAGTCTGAGGAACAGGGTAGACCCAGAAACATGGAAGTAGGGTACAGACTGACAACCCTCAGAAGAGGGGGTGGTGGGGGAGGGAAGAGATAAACCACAGAACTTATATGCATGTACACATAACCAATGGACATGGACAACAAAGCCAGGGATGGGGCGGGGGGCATAGGGAGGAGGGTGTCAATGGGGTAAAAAAGGAGAAACATCTGTAACAAAAATAAAATAAAAAGAAATTGGGGGTTTAAACCCCAAGCAGGCTCCCCAGCACAGAGTAGTGGAACAGGGAAAGGCACCCACATAACACCTGGCTGTGAAAAACACCAAAGCAGAGGTTCTGTCTGGCAGGCAGAGGCGCTGGGAACACAGACGCCCACCTGAAGGCCAGCACACTAAATTACAGCTACAGCCACTACCTTGGGTTCTGGCAGAGGGAAGGTGGACTGGACTGGAGCTGTGTGAGGAGAGTCAAAGGTTCCTGGCAGTGGGGAGAGAGCTGGGAAAGAGGTCATCAGGAGCCCTATGCTGAGTCATTCCCTCATGCTACAGAAACCATTTTTCTCAGGTAGTCTTTTCCCATCAGCGTGGCTTTAGCCCAGGTGGGAGTGGGGAACAACTGCCCCACCCTTTGGAATTTAACCCCGCCCAGCTGGGAGAAGTGCAACCTGAGGCTCATTAACTGTCAGAGACTACCAGCCAGCCTGCAGGCAGAGATGAGTCTGGGCACTTTGAGTCTTGGGCCCAGCTTATGGTCGTTGGATTTCAGGGCTCTGAGTCGTGAAGGCAGCTGCCTCAGCCCCTGTGCTGAGTCACTAACCTATGTTGCAGAAACCATTTTCTTCAGGCAGAATTTTCCTCTCAAAGCAGCTTTAGTCTGGTGGAAGCAGTTGCCTCACCCACTGGAAATCCTCTTACTTTGCCTGCTGTGAGGAAGATTACTCAAGCAGAAGACTCATTAAGTGACTGAGACTAACAATCAGCCTGCAGGCAAAGGTGGATCTCTGGGATATTTGAATCTTTCCCTGGTCTGCAACTCTACCAGAAGAATAAGCCAGAAGAATAAGACCAGATATTGGTGTTCAGCTTGGTTCCTTCCATAAACATCCAAACCCAGAAGAGGGACCCACAATCTGTGAAACATTGGTATTCACAGGGAGATTTTGGCAGGCTCCACACCCTGCTGAGACAACCAAAATGGTGAAAGAAAAATAAATCCCAAATGAAAGAACTAGAGAATTTTCCAGAAGAAGGGCTAAATGAAATGGAGATAAGCAAGTTATCAGATATAGAGTTCAAAGTAATGATTATGAAGATGCTCAACAGCATAAAAAAAAGATATAGAAACAATGAGAAACTACCAATTGGAAATCAAGAACAACATAACAGAAATAAAGAACACATTGGAAGGAATAACCAGCAGATTAGAAAAATTTGAGGATCAGATCAGCAAATTAGAAAACAGGGTAGAAAAAGAGCCATCAATCAGAGAACCAAAAACCAAAAAAACAGTTAAAAAACAGAAAGACAGCCCTGGCCGGTTTGGCTCAGCGGTTAGAGCGTCGGCCTGCGGTCCCGAGAGACCCGGGTTCGGTTCCCGCTAAGGGCATGTACCTCGGTTGCAGTTTGTCCCCGGCCCTGGTTGGTTGTGTGGGTGGCAGCCGCTCGATGTGTCCCTTTCACATCGATGTTTCTCTCTCTCTTCCTCTCTCCCACTCCCACTCTACCTGAACAAAAACAAAAAACAAAAAAAACAGAAAGACAGTTTAAGAGAGTTGTGGGACAATATGAAACATAACAATATCCACATCATAGGATTACCAGAAGAATAAGACAGTGAGCAAGGGATAGAGAATCTATTTGAAGAAACAGTGACAGAAAATTTCCCTAACTTGGTGAAGGAAAAAGGCATACAAGTTCAGGAAGCACAGAGTCCCAAGCAAGAGGAACCCAAAGAAGCCCATGCCAAGACACATCATAATTAAAATGCCAAAAATTGAAGACAGAGAGATTCTTAAAGGCAGCAAGAGAAAAACAACAGGTTACCTACAAAGAAGCCCTCATAAGACTATAAGCTGATTTCTCAATAGAAACACTACAGGCCAGAAGGAAATGGCATGAAGCATTCAAGGTAATGAAAAACAAGGATCTGAATCCAAGACTACTCTATGCAGCACGGTTATCACTCAAAATAGAAGGGGAAATAAAGAACTTGTCAGACCCCCCCCCCCAAAAAAAAAGACTAAGGGAATATATTACCACCAAACCAGCACTGCAAGAAATGCTAAAGGGATTGCTGGAATAAGCAGAAGAAATAGAGAATGGCAATGAATTAAAATGGCAATAAATAAGTACACGTCAGTAATAACCTTAAATGTAAATGGATTAAATGCTCTAATCAAAATACACAGAGTAGCTGAATGGAAAGAAAGCATGACCCATATATAAGTTGTCCACAAGAGACCCACCTCAGAACAAAAGACTGGTTGAAAGTGAAGGGATGGAAAAAATTTTTCAAAGCAAATAGAAATGAAAAAACAACAACAAAAAAGCTGGGGTACCAATACTCAAATCTGATAAAATAGATTTCAAAATGAAGGCCACAACTAGACACAAAGAAGGCCACTACATAATAGTAAAAGGATCGATCCAACAAGAGGATATAACCTTGGTAAACATATGCACCCAATATAGGAGTACCAAAATATATTTTAAAACTTCTGGAGGACTTCAAGGGAGAAATTGACAGCAATACAATCATAGTAGGGGACTTCAACACCCCACTGACATCACTGAATAGACCCTCTAGACCAAAAACTAACAAGAAAACAGAGACCCTAAACAATGCACCAGATTACATGGATTTAATAGATATTTAAGAATTAGCACCCCAAAACTGAAGAATACACATTCTTCCCAAGTGCACATAGGCCATTCTCAAAGATAGACCACATGTTAGGACACAAACTAAGTCTCTACAAGTTTAAGAAGACTGAAATATCAAGCATCTTCTCAGATCACAATGGCATGAAACTAGAAATTAATAAAAACATTCAAATACATGGAGGCTAAATAGCATGTCATTAAACAATGAATAGGATACTAAGGAGATCAAGAAGAAATAAAAAAACTTCCTGTAAATCAATGAAAATCAACACACACCACCACCAAATCTATGGGATGCAGCAAAAGCAGTCCTGAGAGAGAAGTTCATAGCATTATAGACCTACCTCAAGAAACAAAAAAAAATTCGAATAGACTATCTAACTCTACAACTAAAAGAACTAGAAAGTAAACAAAAAGAAAAACCTAGAGAAAATAGAAGGAAATAAATAGTAAAGGTCAGAGTGGAGACACATGACATAGACACTAAAAAACAATTTAAAAAATCAATGAAACAAAGAGCTGGTTCTTTGAAAAGATAAACAAGATTGATGAACCTTTAGCCAGATTCACCAAGACACAAAGAGAGAGAATCCAAATAAACAAAATAAAAAATAAAAGAGGAGCCCTGGCCGGTTTGGCTCAGCGGTTGGAGCGTCGGCCTGCGGTACAGAGAGACCCGGGTTCGGTTCCCGCTAAGGGCATGTACCTCGGTTGCAGTTTGTCCCCGGCCCTGGTTGGTCGTGCGGGTGGCAGCCACTCGATGTGTCCCTTCACATCGATGTTTCTCTCTCTCTCTCTCTTCCTCTCTCTCTCTCCCGCTCTATATGAACAAAAAATGGAAAAATGTCCTCGGGTGAGGATAAAAAAAAAAAAAAGAAAAAAAAATAAATAAATGAAAGAGGAGAAGTAACAACACCAATAATGAGCACTCAGAAAGGGAAACTAAAAAAAAATCCCACTTAACATTGCAACAACAACAATAAAAATAGGATACTTTGGAATAAACTTAACCAAGGAGGTAAAAGACTTGTTCAGAAAATTATAGGACATTGTAAAAAGAAACAGAGGAAAATATAAAAAAGTGGAAGCATATACCATGTTCATGGATTGGGAGACTCAACATCATTAAAATGTTCATAGTACCCAAAGCAATCTATAGATCCAATGCAATCCTTATTAAAGTACCAATGGCATATTTCACAGATCTAGAACAAATACTCCAAAAGTTTATATGGAATTTAAAAAAGACCCTGAATAGCCACAACAATCTTTATATGAAAGAACAAAGTGGGAGGGATCACAATACTGGATATCAGGTTATACTACAGAGCCACGGTAATCAAAACAGCCTGGTACTGACACAAGAACAGGCATATAGATCAATGGAACAGAATAGAGAATCCAGAAATTGACCCAAGACAATATGCACAATTAATATTCGACAAAGGAGGTAAGAGCATACAATGGAGAAAAGACAGTCTCTTCAATAAATGGTGTTGAGAAAATTGGACAGGTACATGCAAAAAAAAAAAAAAAATGAAACTAGACCACCAACTTAAATCATACACAAGAATAAACTCAAAATAGATAAACAACTTAAATGTTAAGTCATGAAACCATAAAAATCCTAGAAGAAAATATTAGCAGCAAAATTTCAGACATCATACATAGTAGAATTCTCACTGAAACATTGTCTAGCGCAAGAGAAACAAAGGAAAAATTAATAAATGGGACTATATCAAACTAAAATGCTTCTGCACAGCAAAAAAATCAGCATCAAAATGAAAAGGGAACCCACTCTGTGGGAGAACATATTTGCCAATGATACATCTGATAAGGGGTTCATATAAAAAATATATAGAGTACACATACCACTCAACAAAAGGAAGATAGATAATCCAATTAAAATGGGCAGAGGACCTGAATAGATACTTCTCCAAAAAGGACATACAAATGGCCAAGAGACATATGAAGAAATGCTCAACCTCACTAATCATCAGAGAGATGCAAATTAAAAGGACCATAATGTATCACCTCACACCTGCCAGAATGGCCGCCATCAACAAATCATCAAACAAGTGCTGGCGAGGATGTGGAGAAAAGGAGACTCTGGTACACTGCTGGTGGGAATGTAGACTGGTGCAGCCACAATGGAAAACAGCTTCCTCAAAAAATTAAAAATGGAACTGCCATTTGACCCAGTGATCCCACTTGTAGGAATATATCCTAAGAAGCCTAAAACACCAATCAGAAAGAATACACGCACCCCTATGCTCACAGCAGCACTATTTACAATAGCTAAGATCTGGAAACAACCCTGGCCGGTTTGGCTCAGTGGTTAGAGCGTCGACCTGCGGTCCAGAGAGACCTGGGTTCGGTTCCCGCTAAGGGCATGTGCCTCGGTTGCAGTTTGTCCCCGGCCCTGGTTGGTCGTGCGGGTGGCAGCCACTCGATGTGTCCCTTTCACGTCGATGTTTCTGTCTCTCTTCTTCTCTCTCCCTCCCACTCTATCTGAACAAAAAATGGAAAAATGTCCGCAGGTGAGGATAAAAAAATAAATAAATAAATAAATAAATAAGATCTGGAAACAGCCCAAGTGCCCATCAGTAGATGAATGGATCAAAAAGCTGTGGTACATGTACACAATGGAGTACTATGCAGCTGTAAGAAAAAGAGATCTCTTACCCTTTGAGATGACATGGAGGGACCTGGAGAGTATTATGCTGAGCAAAATAAGCCAGTGAGAGAAAGACAAATACCACATGATCTCACTCATTTATGGAACATCATGAACAAAATAAGCTGACGATCAAAATAGCTCTAGAGACATGGAAGCAGGGAACAGACTGACAAATCTCGGAAGGAAAGGGGTGGGAGGGATGGAAAGAGATCGACCAAAGAGCTTATATGCATATAGACATAACCAATGGACACAGACAATAGTTTGGGGAAAGCAGGAGGGGGGTGGGAACAGGGAGGAGGGTGTCAATGGGGGAGCGGAAAGGGGGGAACATCTGTAATATTTTCAACAATAAAAGTTTTTTCAAAATTAAAAATATGCCCTGGCCGGTTTGGCTCAGCGGTTGGAGCGTCGGCCTGCGGTCCGGAGAGTCCCGGGTTCGGTTTCCGCTAAGGGCACGTACCTCGGTTGCAGTTTGTCCCCGGCCCTGGTTGGTCGTGCGGGTGGCAGCCACTCGATGTGTCCCTTTTACGTCGATGTTTCCCTCTCTCTCTCTTCCTCTCTCTCCCTCCCACTCTGTCTGTACAAAAAATGGAAAAATGTCCTCGGATGAAGATAAAAAAAATTAAAAATATAACTACCATATTATCCCGTAATTCCACTTCTGGGTAAATATCCAAAGGAAACAAAATCACTATGTTGAAGAGACATCCGTTCCCCCATGTTCACTGCAACATTATTTACAATAGCCAAGACTCAGGTTGGAAACAAACTCATAGCAAAAGAGATCAAATTTTTGGTATGAGGGTGGAGGAAAGGAACTGGGTGAAGGAGATCAACAGGCACAAAATTCCAGTTACAATAAGTCCTGGGGAGTGGTGTACAGGTGGTGACTCTGGTTAACACCACTGTGTGGTGAATTTGAAAGTTGCTAAGAGAGTAGATCCTAAAAGTTCTCATCACAAAAAAAAAAATAATTTCTGTAACTCTATTTCATAATATATGTGTATGAAGTAATTGTTATACACTTTAAACTTATACAGTGCTGTATGCCAATTAAACTCAAACAATATTCATCCTAGTTGATGTATATATATTCTATATGTTCTATCATTTCCAAATTACACCAGCTCATTTTCTCCCTTTACTTTCCATCTACCAGAATCCACATTAACCCTCAGCCATTTGTGGTACATATTTATATATACACACACAAGTAAAATGAGGCAGAGTTGCAATCCTCTGCCTGCTATCTTCCAAAAAATAAAAAACAAAAAAAAGACACGCAGTGAAGAATTTCCATCCCCAGCCCGCACCTGGCCGTACCCATCTTCCATGAGCAACTGCCGGAAAAAGTCATTGGCTGCCAGCTTGATGGCCTTCTCTGGAGTGACCAAGGTGAGGTTCACGGCAGCTCCTGGGAGTAAACAGCAAAGATGAGGAGCTAAGACCATCAGATGTCCCAATGCCCAGAACATGCCGCTCACGTAGGCATCCTACTCTCAGAGGTTGTTTCTAGTGTAAAGGGGGCCTCTTGGGTGGGGGTGGGGAGCGTCAAGAAGAGTTCATCTCTCCTCCCACTACATTTTCCTTTAAAAAAAAATTCTTGCCCTGGCTGGTTTGGCTCAGCGGTTAAAGCATCGACCTGCGGTCCAGAGAGACCTGGGTTCGGTTCTCGCTAAGGGCCTGTACCTCAGTTGCACTTTGTCCCTGGCCCTAGTGGGGTTGTGTGGGTGGCAGCCACTCGCACTCGATGTGTCCCTTTCACATCGATGTTTCTCTCTCTCTCTCTCTCTTTCTCTCTCATCCTCTCTCCCTCCTGCTCTATCTGAACCAAAAATGAAAAAATGTCCTCGAGTGAGGATTAAAAAAAAATTTGTTTTTAAATTCTTTTTCTTTATTAATGTTAGAGAGGAAGGGAGAGAGAGAGAGAGAGAGAAACATCGATGAGAGAGAACATCAACTGGCTGCCTCCTGCACGCTCCCCACTGGGGATCAGGCCCACAACCTGGACATGTGCCCTGACCGGGAATCAACTGGCGCTCTTGGTGCAGGGTCGATGCTCAACCACTGAGCCACACTGCTGGGCACATTTTCCTGTTTTAATGCATGTATTTCCTTTAAGGACTCGTCAGTTCAGTTATTAGGACATCTGTCCTTGCTAATGCTGCCCATCTCTGATGAGAAGTGAGCAGTCTCCCAAATTAAGCACCAACATAAAGGCCCTGGGGGACAAGCACTGGTGTCAGCTTCTCTGCTGTGTTAGGCCGGCCCATTGGCGGCTCTGTGGGTCTCAGAGGTTTTCACTCTGTTCCTAAGGGCACCAGCTCCTCAGCTCCTCCTCAGCCCCGCTCTACCCGTTTCCCAGGGCACAATCATGGCTGTGCCCCCTGGGACGGGACCCGTGCGGGTAAGGGCCACCCAGCACCTCCTTTCTAGGAGCCCAGAGCCCTTCCATTCTCTGTCCTCAGCAGCCGCAGCCTCTTGTGCTGTTGGTGGGTGGACGCGCTGACAGCCCTGAAAGAGGACAGGAAGGAGAACGGGGGTTTGGGGCTCACTTGCCTTCATCACCACACAGGGAGGCAGTGGTTGAGTCCAGAGAGAATTTAGGACTCCTGGGCCCCTCAGTGTACTTGGGGGCGTCCCCCAACCTCACAGTAACCACTCCTGGGCCCCTCGGTGTACTGGGGGGGTCCCCCAACCTCACCGTAACCATTCCTGGGTCCCTCAGTGTACTTGGGGGCGTCCCCCAACCTCACCGTAACCATTCCTGGGCCCCTCGGTGTACTGGGGGGGTCCCCCAACCTCACCGTAACCACTCCTGGGCCCCTCGGTGTACTTGTGGGCGTCCCCCAACCTCACTGTAACCACTCCTGGGCCGCTCGGTGTACTTGGGGGGGTCCCCCAACCTCACCGTGACTACCCCCGCGTCTACCAAGGAACAAGAGGGCCTGTGAAGAGCAATGTGGCCCAAGGTTTCCTGGTAGCCCAGGCTCAGCCCATCCATTTCCTAGACAGAAAGAACGCCACTTCCAAATGTCCTATAAACTTCTAGAATCTGACACCCCTATGCCACACCCTCTGTCCTCACTTGGTCTAAGCCAGGCTTCCCCCAGCACACCTGGTGAGCCCACCTTGGTACATGCCCAGAAAGCCTTCCGCCCTCGCTGTCTTCGTCAGGCAATCTATCCTAGAAGCGGAGGCCAGAGAAGGAAATTAGTGGTGAACAGGAGGCTGCTCCATGACCCCTTCCCTTCACCTAACGCTCTAATCCTGCTGGCGCTGGCTCGTGGCTGCTGACCATCTCGCCCACCTCCCTTCCTCACACCCCAATCTTGTACACTCTCTAAAGAGGCTACAGAGGAGTGAGGCCCCCATCTCTCCTCGGGGAGCCCCCTCTCCTTACCCACTTCCTCGCCAATACCTACATTCCTTTGTAGATATCTTTCCCATGCTGGTTCTGAAGTCGAGTCTTGGCCAAGTCGATGGGGAACACACAGGTCACCCCCACGAGCCCTGCCACGCCTCCATTGATGAGTTTTGCTGTGACACTAGGCCAAGGGAGGTGCAGAGTGAGGGGCGGCAGGCGCAGGCACAGGGAAGGAGGCTGGCTGCAGAGGGCTGCACACCTCACTGGGTGGGGGTGGACCGAGGTGGGCAGGAGGGCAGGAACCGAGCAGAGCACGGGCAGCCCCACTGGTGCCAGAGGCCCCTCTCCTCAGCCTCCCCCCTCCCCCAGCAGCCCCTGTGGCCAACCTGTTGTGCCTCCCTCCCCTGGTCGGGTTCCAGAGACAGGTTAGGGGCCAGGACCAGGAAAGCATGGCCACTTCCTTCAGGGACACTACCCTCACCAGGGCGGAAGCATCTTGCCTTAACCCCACAGGGAGATGGTCATAAAGGTAGGACACTGCAAGGGCTTCTGGGAAGGGTGCCGAGTGCCAGCTCTGCCCCCGGGGCCCCAGTATGTTGCAGGGGGTTCTCAGCTGGGCCTCCAAGTAGCCCCTTCAGAGTTTCCACCAAAGGCCTGTTGTCTGGCTTGCCCCCATTGTTAGGGCTGCACGGACACATTCTCAAACACACTGACGTTTCTTAGACTTAAGGTCGATCAGAACTGATTTTGAATCCTGGCCATTCTGTTAGTTAAGCAGGTCATCTCTCTTCTGGGATCCTTTGATTTCCCCTCTGTAAAACTGGTTAGTGCATTTGGTAAATGATAGCTATTGTTAACAGAGAACACACTTTTCCGACATTGAGAGTTTCTAGTCAGCATGTGATAACCAGGGTTCAATTATTGAGATTATCTGATTCTAGCCCAAAGTCACTTTATATAATGTGGGCCTCCTCATCCTTGAGAAGTTTCTAAGAGTCTGAAAATAGAAAATAAAGCTTTGTCAGCTTCTTGAAGCCCAGTAACACTTATCTTTCTGGCCAGAGGCAGATGGGAGCAAAATATTTGGAGGTAGATCACTTGGAAGTGGTGAGAGTAGATAATGGACTTAAAATTTTCAGTCTGAGGAGATGCAGTCCAAACAATAACAAACTAGCATTTATATTTAAATATGCATATGTATAGGGAAGGACTTTTTGGTGAACAGGAAAATGTTTCTCCCGCGGTCCCGCAGCAGCGCTTGCCCTAGCCGGCGGCCCGGGCTCAGCCCGCTTACCTGGGGTCCTGCCGGGACATCCTCCGCGGGCCGAGGGCGCTGTGGGTCCGGGGCGCGAGGCGGCTCGGCTCGTTCGCCCGTGGGCAGACGGCTGGCTGCAGCGGAAGGAGTGGAGTCCGTTCCCCTGGCCGGAGCCGCGGGCGCAGAGCCGCCCTCCCAGGCTCAGGCCAGCGCCCCCTCCCGGGTGCAGCCACACGCGCAGGGCAGACCTGCTCCGCGCTGACGCTGCCCGCCGGTCTGCGACCTGCCCTCCGGCGCCTTCGGCTTCGGGGATGGGGACCAGAAGAGAGGCGGCGAGGGAAGAAGGGCCCCGGCCGAGCGGGGAGAGGAGTCCCGGCGCAGAGCCGCAGAGCGCGGGCGCCGACGGACCCGGGGCAGCATTCCGAGTGGCTGTGGATTCGGAACCCTCTCCTAGCGTCCAAGAACACAACCGAGCGCTCACGATGTTCTGAAGGTACCTTTTGGCTCTCAAAATGTGTCTTAGGACCTTCCTATGACCCTGTTGAATGACCGGGCCGCATTAAGACCGCGGACTTATACTTGATGCATCTGGAAAGCACCAGGGACAGTGCCAGGCCGTGGAAACGACAATAACCAAGCGGTCGCAGCCTGCAGCCTGCGAGGAGGGCTCCTGGGTGCTGGTGGAGGGGGGCGGGGCCCTGAGGGGGCGCTTCTCCGCAGACTCGGGCCAAGCTACCAGAGCTCCGCCCCTCTGCCGCCTGCCAGCCTATCAGACACGCTCTACCCTCTCCTGCCCTATCAGATGCTCTGCCCTCTCCTGGCCTATCAGAGGCTCTGCCTTCTCCTGATCTATCAGACACGCTCCGCCCTCACCTGGCCTATCAGATGCTCTGCCTTCTCCTGGCCTATCAGACAGCTCTGCCATCTTCAGGTATTTTGTAAGAGGAAGAGAGATCAGTTTACCCTGGGGCCTATTGATCCACTCAGAGAGCATTTACTGGGTGCTCAGCACTGATAATCCCAGGTCTGGGATGTAATAGTGAGCAAAAGACTGAAATCGTAGTTTTCAGGGACTTAAAATTTAAGAGGAGATATATAATAAATGAAATAAATCCTAAGGATACCAGTGATAAATACTCTGGAGAAAGAAATTCAGAAGGGAAGGACAATAGGATATGTCAGTGGGGTGGGGTGACACAGTCATCGGTCAGGCAAGACCTCATAAGATCTTTGGCTTTTATTCTGAGTACAAAGGAGAAACAGTGGGAGAGTTGTCAGCATAGAAGCTTTTCCTGTTGAGAATAGAGAGCAGAGAGTCAAAGATAAAAGCAGAAAGGGATTAAACCATTGCAGTAACCCTGGCCAGTGTGGCTCAGTTGGCTGGACATCGTCCCATGGACTGAGACTTTGCTGGTTTGATTCCGGGTCAGGGCACATGCCCGAGTTGCAGGCTTGGTCCCTAGTGAGGGGCATGCAGGAGGCAGCTGATCCATGTTTCTCTCTCACATCAATATTTTTCTCTCTCCCTTCCTCTCTAAAACATCAGCTAAAAAAAAAATCAATCAATCCCTTTTTTTTTTTTTAAATCCTCACCTGAGGACATGTTTGCATTCATCTTCAGATAGAACGGGAGGGAGAGAGGGAGGAAGAGAGAGAAACATCAACTGGCTGCCACCCACACAACCCCAACCCAGGCTGGGGACAAACTGCAACCGATGTACGTACCCTTAGCGGGAACCGAACCCAAGATTCTCTGGTCCGCGGGCCGGCTGTTCTTTGAGACATTTAATACACTGTTAAGACAGACCCAGTTTAAAGCCTTAAAACTGAGAGGAGCCCTGGCCGGTTTGGCTCAGTGGTTAGAGTGTTGGCCTGTGGTCCAGAGAGACCTGGGTTCAGTTCCCACTGAGGGCACGTACCTCAGTTGCAGTTTGTCCCCGGCCCTGGTTGGGTCGTGCAGGTGGCAACCACTCGATGTGTCTCTTTCACGTCAATGTCTCTCTCTCTCTCACACTCTCTCTGCCACTCAAGCTGAACAAAATATAGAAAAATGTCCTCGGGTGAGGATTAAAAAAACCACAAAAAACTGATAGTAAACATGACATGTAAGAAACCCTTTCTGTCTGAAGCCAGAGACCCAAATAACTGAGAATACTGCAGCCATATTTCCTGTTATTTCTACAACTAAATTACTTTTTATAAATTGTGTTTCGCTAGCTGTTGGAATAGGGATACTTAAGAAAAGCCAGAGAAATGAAGGCCACCCCAGTGCCCGAGGCTCCTCCACAGACGAGCACTGGCTGGCGGGGTGTGTGCATCTCAGCACAAGCCTCGCCCCGAATGTGCTGAGCCCCAGGCCTGGTAGCTCCCTGGAGCAGATTATGACTTGACAAGATTTCTTTAACTGGTAAATAAGGAAATATAATCAACTAACAGGAAACAGCCACGCAGCCAAGATTTTTTTTAATTTATTGATTTTAGAGAAAGGGAGAAAGACAGAAACACTGATTTGTTGTTCTGCTTATTTATACATTCGTTGCTTTTTTATTTTTAAATCCTCACTCGAGGAAACTTTTTTGCATTTTTAATCTTCAGATAGAGAGACAGAGAGACACCGATGTGAGAGAGACACATGGAGTGGTTGCTCCGGCACCACCCCGTCCAGTGCTGTGAACAGAAACGCAACTGAGGTACGTGCCCTTGACCGGAATCGAAATCATGACTCATTGGTCGGGGGGCCGATGCTCTAACCGCTGAGCCAAACCGGCCACTACTGTTGGTTGCTTCTTTATGTGCCCTGACTGGAGAGTGAACCCGAAACCTTAGTGTATTTGGAAGATGCTTCAACTGTATGAGCTACCTGGCCAGAGCAGCCAGCCAAGATTAAAAAAAAAAAAATTTTTTTATCTTCACCTGAAGACGTTTTTGCATTTATCTTCAGATAGAGCGGGAGTGAGAGAGGAAGAGAGAGAAACATCGACGTGAAAGAGACATATTGAGTGGTTCCACGACCCCAACAGGGGCCTGGGACAAACTGCAACCGAGGTATGTGCCCTTAGCGGGAATTGAACCCAGGACTCTCTGGTACGCGGGCTGACACTCTAACTGCTGAGCCAAACTGGCCAGGGTCAAGTTTTTTTTTTTCCCTCTTTTTTTTCTCAATCCTCACCTGAGGACATTTTTTTTTTTTTCATTTTTTGTTCAGATAGAGAGAAACATCGACGTGAAAGGGACACATCGAGTGGCTGCCACCCAAACGACCAACCAGGGCTGGGGACAAACTGCAACCGAGGAACATGCCCTTAGCGGGAACCGAACCCGGGTCTCTCTGGACCGCAGGCCGACGCTCTAACTGCTGAGCCAAACCGGCCAGGGCCCAAGATTGTTTTTTAAATTAAGATTTTTTAATTGAGTTTTTAGAGAGAAAGGAAGGAGAGGGAGAGAAACATTGATCGGCTGCCTCCGGCACGCCCCCCACCGGGACCAAGGTCACACCTGGGCAGGTGCCCTGACCAGAAATGGACCCAGCCCCCTTCTGGTGCCCAGAGTGACACCTGCCTCCCTGAGCCACACTAGCCCTGGACTGCCAGCGAAGATCTTAAAGGAGTCATGTCAACCATGAAAATCCCAAACTTGGCACCAGGGCCTGTAACTGCTCGGTCCCTGAGGCAGCCCCCAGGTCCTCGGCCACAGGAATGTAGCCACGAGCACGGTCCTTGCCCCCGCCGTCTAGCTGCGGGCTCCAGCACGACCTTCTCCCGCCCGGCCAGCGGCCGACTGCCAAAGCTGAGTGAACACGTGGACTCACTGAATGATCTAGTCCGTGCTGCATGCTTTAAACGGTCATCCAATAGATAGTACTTCCCCTGCTGTCTTCTGTAAATGGAATTTAGGAGACAGTATTTGGGGAGAACTGGGGAAGGAAAACTAGTCATGTCAGCTGTGGGATACAGGACCACGAGGGCCACTTTTGGAGCTCTTTGGGACGAGGGGACGAGGGCTGGGAATATAGGAAAAGTAATCTTGATCGGGCACCAGGGCTCCATCACTGCTTCTGGATCATCGATATCACGTTGGGAAGACGAGCGCTTTTACAGGCGATACCTGAACCGCACTGGAAGGAAGGGAAGAGGATGTATGGGAAACAGCGTGTTTGCATGTCTCCAGGCATGGATGGGAAGAATGTAGCAGACAGGTTGCTCTGCACCACCCCGTTCCCACGAACCCCTTCTCCTGACCACACGCCCCCTGCTCGCAGGGGGCACTGCTGACTGCCCAAGGAGGGCAGGTAGGCTAGGTATCCAGTACCTCTGCAGCAGCAGAGATTGTGTAGCCTCTTTCAGGGAGTTATTTTCTGGAGAAAACCTGGGACCCAGCTCGCAGTCCTGTTTCCTGTCACATGGTTTGGGAGACAGATGAACAGCAGAACCGCACAGGAGACGCGTGTGCTGGTGACAGCGGCCCTCACGCCTGACCTCAGGGCCAGGGCCTTCCACTGCCCTTCCCGCGAACTGAGAAAGTTAGTTTTTGTAACTTGGTAACCAGAGTCCTCAAGTAATAAACAAAATATTTAAAGAACCCTTCTGCTCCATGTAATAGCAACTGAGCTGCTCAGCCGGTTCTCACGGCGAGGCTGGCGGGGGGCTGGCGGGGGGCAGCATGGTCGCCTGCGCACCCCTCCCCCTAAAAGAAAGTAGCTTTTGCCCGATTGGGTCCTGTAGGCAGTAAGAAAACACTGGATACGTGTAAGGGGAAACTGCATGTTGGATGTGGGATGAGGACAGTCGTTCCGGCCGAGAAAAGGGAGTGCTGAGTGAGGCCAGCCGGGAGTGGACAGGGCAGGGGCAGGGCCTGCCTTGGTGCCTGCCCAGCGCGGAGGCGGCAGGGACCGGGGAACTGCTGGTCTGAAACCCGAGGGGCCGAGGAAGGAGAAAGGTCGGGCTGGTCCCGGGACCTCCAGGTGCCCGTCTCCTGGCCCCTCCCCTTACTACCTGCAAACAAGGAGCTGGGTAAGGACAGTCCTGGGCAGTCAGATCCTGGGGCCTGGCCATCTCGCCCTACGTGTCCTCACTGTGCCGGCAGATTGCCAGGGGCTCGTACCCTAACACCCAAACCAACCTGTGACCTCGTCTCTTCTTTAGGGATGGC